CCCCCCCCCAAAAAAAAAAATAAAAAAAAAAGAAAAACTCCCTTTTCATCTTCTTCCTCTCATCCCCTTTTCCAAATCTACCAGATTTTCCCAAAATAATATATTCATCCAAAATATTAGAGACTAGACAATCTTCTATATATAATAAAAGGAGAGGTAAAAGCATATTATTAAGATAAGTGGCATAACCACAAAAAGCCAAGTGGCACTGTTAGGACAAAATAAACTACCTTTTTAACTAAAAAAAAACTTTTTAAATTTTGAATTAATTAGTTATTCTATTTGAAATAAGAAATATAGATATCTTATAATTAGCTATAATAAAAAAACAAAAACATTAATTAAAAAAATACCTATTCAAGTTGGGGAATAGTTTCAATTTGGAGTTTTAAATTATTTTAAAATAAAAAACGAAAATAAAGAAATAAAAAATTACCAATTCAAATTGGGGTGTGGTTTCAAAGTTGTGGTTTAAAATTATTTTAAAATAAAATAAAAAAAAACTTTCAATTCAAATGAAAAATACAAAAATATAAAGATACTATTAGGATATTATATATATTTCTTATCAGTTTATACTTTTGATGAATTCAAAATTATAATTTAGTAAAAAAATATTACATTATTTAAATTTTTAATAAACTACAAAATCTGAAAACTAATCAAATAAGTATTACAGTAGAAAGGAATGTACAAAAAGAGGGGGATTGAGATAATATTATGCTATTTATATTTTTAATTAATTAAAAAATAAAAGATAAATAAATAACACTCAAGAAAATTATCAATAGTACTAAGTACTTGCTAATTCAATAATAAAAATAAAAAGGAACAAATAATTTACTCGATTAGTATCCTTTAATTTTTTATAGATTGTATTATATTTCTACACACTATATTAAATAATAAAATATAACTAATATTTATTAAATTAATATGATATATTATATCATAATTTTATAAGATTAATATTTTGTCAAATTTCCGTGCATCGAGCGGATTTTTATACTAGTTACCAATAAATTGATAATTAACAATCAATTTTCATCAATAATTTGTCAAATTGGGATGATATAAATATCTCAAAATCAATATAAGAAGCAACCAACAAGTGAGTTTCTTCCAAATAATTAATCATGTGATTCTTATGAAGTTCTCGGGGATTTAAAGGAAGCTAGCAACAGGCACTTTGCGTTACTACTCGAAGAAAAAATATGAATTGTGCTCTTGTTTCTTTAAGCTGACAGTTTCATTCCAATTGAAAGAAAAGGTCACTAACAATGGCGGGGAAAAAGTGCGACTAGCAGAAGGAAGATGGAGAAATAAAGGATGAAGTGAGATTTAGGGTTTGGGCTTAAATTAGGGACTTCATTAAGGGTATATTCGGAATTATACATACAATTATCATTTATTACTGTTTGGGATGGGTGGACAACGTGAGTCTCCAGAAGTGTATTACACGCACGCGAGCTCACTAGGTCGGTGTTTACTCGATCTACTTAATAGTCACTTGAAATGTCAAAATAAAAAAGGGCTCGGTTGGGATGTTTATCTGATCCATGAGGATAACTTAAATGAGATGTTTATGTATTTTGCTTTTTTTTTTTTTAATGTTGATTGGTTTTTATTATATCCTTCTTTTTGTAAAAAATGGGATGGAAATTGTTCTAGGACCATGGCTTAAGTATAATATTGTAGAAATAAAGTGAATTAGGGATAGAATTATCTCACCAAATCTTATATACAGAAATGAGAGCATCGAAGTCACTAGTGCTCATATATACTTTTACTTATCACTTAATTGTTATTAACTAATATTTAAAAAATTTATCATCTAATCACGATAAATTAATATTATTATATAATTTTTTTAATATAACCCTATAGTATTCGACTGAATTAGTCTAAATGCATGCACCTTTACAAATGTTCCATCTTAATTACACACAAGTTTTTAAAGTCCAGATCAAGGTAGACCCCACCAGTAGTATGCAAGGACAGAAGGTGCAAGGTACGAGTGGGCACACCAGATGTCTCCTCGGGCTGGAAAAGAAAAAGAAAAATATGTATTTTTAATTGTTTCCGAAAATATATTTTTTATTTTTTTAGCTAACAAATATAAATAATTTTGCCAATAAAAAAAGAACCAGAGACCAAAGACGGAGGAAAGGTAGCTCCTGTAGCTAAGACATCGTTCATTCATTACTCTCTCTCTCTCTCGTGTTCATTTTCTCTTCTCTCTTTTTGTGTTCTCTACTCTTTCTTCTTCTACTCTTACCTTCTCCTCGCTACTTTTTACCTCCGTTCATCCGTCGTTGTCTTTTTACCGCTGCTGGTGGTAAAGACTTTGTTTTTACAGCTTTTCGGTGTTGCAAAAATCGATCGGATAAAGTCAAGTCTTGTCGATCGAGGTAATTTTAGCTCTTTTTCTCTCGATTTTACCCCTGGATCACCTAATTTTGTTGATTTTTTTTGGGTTTTCTTATGGTTTTGTCAGTTGAATTAAGGGGTTTCGTGTGAATTTTCAGCTACTTGTTTTTGTGCTAAATTCTGTGTTGGGTTTCACAGGGGTATAGCTTTATCTTTGCCTGCTTACGTTTGAAGTATCTGGCTTTTTTAAAAATCGGAGGTAGTAGAACTCGACGCGTTTTTATCGTGATTACGATTAAACCCCTCCTCTTTTTGGGAGAAAAATGTAAGAGGGAAAAATGGAACTTTTTACAGTTAGTTTAAGTTTTTTTTTCTTTTTAAATTTCTCTTTCAGTTTATAAGTCGTATTAGTTTAGTTTATGTGTGTGTGTTTAATTTTGGTTCAGATATTTTAGGGTTCTCAAGGTCTTTCTGCATGTAATTCAAACAAGTTTTACCCCCTACCGTCATTTTTATCTGTCACTTGGACAAAAACAAATTGGGTCCAAAATTTGTTGCTTTAGAAAACC